GCCACCGTCATAAGCTACTCTTGTGGAAACAGAATAGAAACAGGACCCCGCGGTACCAGCCTTTTTTTTTTTTTTACATGAATACACCCACTGTGTTGCTGCCGGCTTCACACCCTTTGTGGCAATAAAGAGTCGCAATCATCGCAAAAGAAACCCGCAAAACACAGTGTCATGCTTGTGAGAGTGTGTTTGTGACAGACGAAGACGAGGAGGGGGGAGGACGGCAGATCTGGATGTCTGGACGAAGAGGCGGACGAACGGAGCGGCTGAATGAATACCTCGTGAGTATCTACAGGGGGCTGTTTGTGGACGAGACGGAGAGGCCGTATCTCACTTTTAGTTTGGTGGCACAGCTGCTTTTCTCCCGTCCATTATCTCGACCTGGCCATCTACGGCTCTTTGTGCGTTTGTCACCCGCTTTATCTGCTCGCTTGTTCGCCGGCTTGTCCGACCACAGCGCTGACAAACTGCGATGAAAGCATGATCAACTGGAGGGACGTATTGAGCCGCCGTGTCCTTCACACATGGCTACTGAGGCCTTTTTCTGTGTGTGTGTTTGCGTTAGTCTGTCTCTTCACTCACAAATAAGCCATTAATCCACCCTCCTAGGACGCAGAGGTTTTTTGTTTTTTTCCTTCTTCTTACGCCTGCCACATTTCACAATTAAACCACGCAATGTCCATCGGCGTTTTGCATAATTAGGCCACTTATATCAAATGCAGTCAGATTCTAATGGAGCGCTGAGGGGACATATTTACTTTAATTACTACTCTCGCTATCTCCATACCTCATCCTCCCTCGGTTCGTCCTCCCCTCATCCACTCCCGGTCCTCTGGAGAGTGCAGCGGGCGACGTCGAGGGAAGTGAGACTGAAGAAGAAGAAGACTGTGTTTCCCACAAAGGTCACACCCTCCCTCAGCGGAGTTAAGATAGCGTTTGACCTTATAGCCCATTACAGCGCGGCGCTGCTCAACCACAGTCACAGGGGAGCACACGGATAAATAAAGAACTTTAAAAAACTCACTGTTTCCGACTACAAGGAAAGAATCAGGTGTGTGCATACCTGTGTGTGTCCCTCAGTGTCCTTTCAGGTTGTGCGTCTGGTGAATTCACACGTGTGCGTTTTATTTACAGGAACCTTTTAAAGTTGTCTGGCAATAACAGTGGAGTCCAAGAAAAAAAAAACCCTCCAAAGAGCACTCTAACACCACAGACTGTGTTGTCTGCGTGCTTTCATACAGGAAACAGGGAAGATAAGTAGAATGTGAAGGAGACTGAAACCTCAAAGCTCCCTACTAGAAAGCCTATTTGCCAACTGATTGTTAGAACCACAGTAACACCGGGGTACATTTAGACAGCGGAGCCTAGATTGATATTGGGCTGCTTTCACTTCAACCGTTTCATGCCCCTGTTATTCTGAGTGTTTGTGCGTCTCCGTAGGCCGTTAAAATTGCAAACTTCTCCGCAATTTTTTGATTTTTTTTCCCCCCTAAACTCTCACCCTTTATTTTGTCAGCGCGACTACGGGAGATGAAACGGCAGACAGCGCCGCGAGAGCAGACGAACGCTCTGAATGAGAAAAGAGCAAAGGAAGTGTGAGGAAAGGGTGAGGAGGAGGAAAGACAGGGGGGAATGGAAGAAAGGAAGAAATTACCCTGCCCTAATGACTGGCATTGCTCATTAGTGTCATCATTAGACTTTTGTGGCTTGTCATCCTTCATGAAAAAGTCCAAAGAGCAGCAGAGGGACGGCAGGTTCAGAAAGGACGCCGCAGAAACCTTCTGGAGGGAGAAGAGTTTCGCTGGAGGTCAGGAAGAACAAATGATGGGAAGCGGTGACGGACGTAAGGCGGGTCGATCTGTACAGTTTATAAACGGCGTGCGTGGGGCTCGTATAGCTCGAGCATCCCTCGCCGTCCTCTGCACAGGATGCTGATCCGGAGGCCTGACGCGAGAATAAACCGACCGCTATATATGATTACAAGTGACTCAACCCCAGAAATAGAAGAACTGATAGAGAGCTGTGTGTGTGTGTGAGCTCATATCTCACACCTGTTGCTGCACTCCTACAAAATAAATGGCAGCGACATGACAGGGAATGGCTGTGTCCACTCTCTCTGATAATGCTCGATCAGAGAGCCGCCTTTAGGACCCGAGTGTGTGGGCGTGAGAGGCGACTAGAGGGGGAGTCAAAGAGGAGGATAAAAGGGATAAAACGTGGCCGTCAGGTGTGTGTGTGTGTGTGTGTTTTGTGTATGTATGTGTCCCCGCGAAGGTCAGCCCTGTGCATGAGTAACAGGACACCATGGCAACCCCTCCGTCTCCAGCATCACACTTTGAACAGTTTTTTTCTCCTGGATACCACGACCTCACTCTCCTCTCCATCAGCCTCGCCCTCTCTCTCTCTCTCTCCCTGCAGTGGCTGAAACAGGAACTTTAACAGCCCCTCAGCCGCCGCGCCCATAAACGTCCATGACAGCAAATCTTCCGGCGGACACGCCCAGGTGCCAGCCCAGAATTTAAACTGTGAGTATAACTGTCATCCTCCACCGGTGAAGTGAAAGCACAGAGAGAGAGAGAGAGAAAACGGCGGAGGAAATAATGGCTGGATTAAGTTTACTAAATCACATTAATTAAGGTAAACGACCGGTTTCGCGAGGAGGAGGGCGCGGAGAGGCGACGGAGGCTGGAAGGGGAGAGCAAACAAATATATACTAAAGACAAAGAGAAGGGAGGAGAAATCAAAGTGGGGGGAAAAGAGGAGAAACAAGAATGGTTGAAAAATCCTTGCACCTGCAGCTCCCAGCTGTGTGGTGCTTATTCTGAATCATTGCTCCACGTGGAGAGACTGCTTAGTGTTCCATTTGGGAAACAGGGATTTATCACCGAGGAGGGGGCTGCTGCTGCTGCTGCTGCTGCTGCTAGTGTGTGTGTGTGTGTGTGTGTGTGTGTGTGCGAGGGCGGTGGAGGTAGGTGGGTGTGTATGGCAGCACATTGTGGAGAAGGAACTTGGCTCCCTACCTGAGAATCTGTAACCAGGTTGGAGCCCACACACCGTAATGCGGCCAGATTAGATGTTCCCGCGATTCTAAAAAAGGGCAGAGGGCTGCGGACCAGATCACTTGAGGGGGAAATACAGAAATATGCTTTTGTTTGCAGTGGTTTGCATTAGTCTGTGTTGATTCGCATCTTGAACCGTTTACATTTTTGGGTTATTCAAAGTGCATGTGTAGGTACTGATTATGACGCCCGAGGACAGAGACTCCCCCATGCAGCTAACCAGGGCCATCCCACAACTCTGGTGCCGTGTCTGAGTGTGCGTGGATAAGTGCAGATAACTAGAAATCACTAAAGTCTTGTTTCTCCGCTTTGCTGGAGACGTTGAATGAACCTCGTCAATGCAAAGCCTCCTCACCGATGTGCAAATGCGTGTGTGTAGGATGCGGCGTATACATACAAGAGAGAGCCAGAGAGTGCAGATCCCAATCAATAAAGTAGGGAGTTAAATAAATTGTTTGTAGGCGCCATTAGCCTGAACCATCAGATCAGAAGATTGGACCACAATGTGGAAATGAACCAACGGCTTATCCAATTAAAAGTGAATAATGCGCAGCACCAAAACCTACACAGGTCAAATGAGCTGAGCTGTCTGCCGCCTCCCATCCGGATGAGAGCGAGAGAGAGAGAGAGAGAGAGTCAGAGAGAGGAGCAGCACAACACAGAGTTTCCCAAATGAGCTGTTTGCCTGCCACGCTCCGGGGCTCTCCCATTGTTGCAGCGTTTAGAAATAGTCTCGCCTTGGTTGTTTTTAAAATTAGCTGCTGCTTAAAACCTTTTGCAGCGTGCCACCAGAAGAGACACCGTCATTAAGTGCAACTACATGGTGAGTGGTTCAATGGCAATTTGTGATGATCTTCAGGATGGAGGGGGGGATATATTTATCAACCAGCATCATGAGGAGGAGGAGGAGGAGGAGGATGCAGCTGGGAAAGAGCATCCCTGCAGCTGGAAGCATCCCTGCACTTTGGCAGGACAGGTGGCAACTCCTTCACACAACAGATGAGCCAAAATGTGACCCCAAAAGATGAAGTGTTAAAGAGATGTAATCACAATAAAACTCCCAGAGCCTCGCTGCTGCCCTTCCTCATTTAAATACTCCCTTAAAACACTTGATTGGCACGCTGGCAGAAGCAGCTGTTCCGCGTTACCTCCCTCTCTGCCCATATTAAAGTCATATCAAACGGGCGAGTGGCTCAATCACGGCTGGGAATTAAAAAGGCTTTATTAGATATCTCCAGAGAGAGCCCACGTCTGCGGAGACACCAGCAGACTGAGTAAAACACCCAGAGAGACGCCACGAATAACACAGCAGAGCGGCCAAGTAAGTTCTCTGTCTCTCTTTTCAGTCCCTCTGACACCCTCCTCCTCCTCCGCCGCCTTCCTCCTCCTCTCCTCTCTCTCTCTCTCTCTCTCCTCCGTGCTTTTCTGTGTTTTCCCACACACACACACACACACACACACACACACACACACACACACAAGCCCAAAGAAACGCTCAAGTTGGTGGCTGAGCGGAATATAGATGCGAGTGGAGACAAGAGCCGGAGCCGTGATTTGCACAGAGACGTAGGATACACCCCTGCGCTCTCGTTCCTTCCCTCTCTCAGACCCCATTCCCCCTCATCTCTCTCTCTTTTTCTGTCCTCTCTCGGATAAAAATAAATAAAAAATGTGAAAGGCATTCCTAAAGTGGGAGCGAGCACTGCAGATTGCCAGAAACTCGGTGCCACAAATGACAAATCGTGCGCGCAATCGAGGGGAGGATTAAAAAAAAAAACTTGCTCCGACAAGGATGGACCCGGCGGTGCAGGTGGAAGGAAGCGCTGTGATTTGCAGACACGGGACAAACTTGACAAGCCGTGAGCAGGCGGATGACCAAGAAATAAAATAATAAAAATCACCCTCTCTGTCTCACACACACACACGCAGATCTGTTCTTACCTGGTGGAAGAGGAAAGCCAAGAGGATGCGGACTCCAAGCTCCATGGTGGGTTCGAAAGAAAATCTTTTTTCTCTCTCTCTCGCTTTCTCTCTCTCTCTGGGTGGGAAACACGAACGGATTCAAGACAGGGTGATAGAGGCTGGGTCAGCTCTGCTCATAATTCCACTGTCCAAAAAGCGCCGGAGAAGAAGAGAGGAGGAAAAAGCCTTTCGCCGTAAGAGCCACCAGCTGCCAACTTCCCACCAAACACAACTGCAGTCTGATCAGCAAAGCGCCGGATAGTGAAGGAGGCGAGACCACGACCAATAGATTTATGAGTAGGACAGAGAGAGAGAGAGGGAGAGGGAGAGGAGGGAGGAGGTGAGAGAGGGGAGTGGTGGTGGTGCGGGGGTGAGGAGAGAGGAGGAGGAGGGTGAGGAAGGAAGGAGGGAGGGAGGGAGGGAGGTTGTCTCTATCTAAATAGAGCATCCCCCCCCCTAACATTTTTTGGAGTTTGGAGCTGACCGGCAGGTGCAGCTCGCAGGTTTCCAGGACTCACCAAAACACTATCTGTTCTTCTGACAGCCCGTCCATCATCTCTAAACCGGAGCCACGTCATCCCACATCCAGCGCAAAGCCAGCGTTGCGCACGGGCAGCGGCGGTTTAATGCGTCCCGTTAGCGCGCAGGGTGCCTGCGGGGCGCCCTGAGAGAAAAGAGAAACTTCAGTCATGATAGGCCACATCTGAGCTAAGGTTTACAGTAAAACTACACGCCCACATGAGGAGCATTTAGACATTCATTTAACCTGACTGGAATAGTTTTAAAAGAAAACATCATTTTTCACCCCCAGCTTCTGTTTTCCTTCCTCCCAGCTATGTGATGAATTGTTCATGTATGTTTGGAATTTTAATTGGTTGTTATGTTGCCAGAAGAAGCTTTTATTCTCGCCTTGTTCACCTCAACCTACACACCCACAAAAGGAAAATGCACTTTCAGAGGCAGGAATTGACACAAGGTCTAACCGGAGTGATCGCTGATTACTGCACAGTCAGTCGTCTTAGCCCATTTGTTCCTGCAACATACACTGTAATTAATCCAGATTAACTGTGTATGATTAATGTGCTGCTGTAACACATGCTCGCCTCTGTAGGGGAGCAACAAGGTTTGGAGGTTTAGGGAACAGGGGTCGCCGCTGTACAGAACTGAAACCTCGTACGCCGGGTTTCCACTCAATCAAACACGATTACCAGCAAGATTAGCTCTACGTACATGATGCTAAATTCAACAAACAGTCTTCTTTTCCACCTCAGAGACACAGTTAAAGAGCTGGTTTTTATTGTTATGATAGAACAGAGGTTGTCAGAAAGTTGTCGAGCTGTTCAACTGGTCGCAAATTAAGTGAGTTCATCTGCGTCCTTGTTGGGCTTTATGGCACAGTGACCAGTACAGAGACGCTCCAGAGACCAGCGACTACAAAAGGCCGCCTCCAAAATCGTACCTTTATTCCAAAGACACAATGCCACACACAGATACGTATAACAAAGGCTAGATGTCTCGCCCGCGCTGCCGGCCACGCTGGCGGCCATCTTGGTACGGTCGGCTCGCTCTCCCATAACATTGTGTTGTTGTGGTGCATAAATAACCACAACTTGCTCAATTTTCTACCAAGTTTCAAACGGTTTGGTTTGTTATAAATGTCAGTAAATGTCACTGATGGATAATGATGCTACACTCTCACGGCCAGCAACAATTTCTATTTTAATTATTTTGTATTTTGTTTATATTTTTGTAATTTGAATCGTAGCCGCGTTAATAACGTTTGTAAGAAACCAAACCGTTTGTAGATCCGTCGAGATTTCAGCGAGATAAGAGTATTTACGTTTGTGCACATCGCTCACCTTCCTTCACGTACCACAGGTTCCACCAGAGAGCTGCCCCGAGTCAAGATGGCCGAAGGGTGAGCCCGTTAGAAACGCCGCCTTTAGACATCTAGCCTTTATTGTACGTATCTATGAAGCTACAGGTAACAAGACAAAGACAAGAGCAGGCTGCTGTTCCTTCCGTATTCAGGAACTTCAATGTCAACAACTTCAGCATTTGCCATTGAAGAAATCTCTTCAGATGACAGACGACCTGCCACACGATGCTCTGGACAGCGATCCTGTTCCCCAAAATGTCCACCAACTTCTCCAAGACCTTCAGGACAGAAGCAGCATCAACAAGCTCATAAACGTTCTGCATCCAAGATGAGCGACTCATGACTGACTCTACCCATAATCAACTCCGATATAGCACACACTAGGTTGTTTCATGACGTCCGTTCTGTCGTAGCGATGTTGGAACGACATTTAATTCTTCTGATACGTTAGAAAGAATGTATAGAACATTACAAGCTGCAGGTTGGAGGATTATTTTCCCACCAATCGTGCAGAGAGTTGCATGAGAATCCATCTTGGTGTTGCTGGTGAAGTGAGAAGCAGCAGCTTCAGAGTCCCAGAGTAAAACCACACACGTCCCCTTTACAAACCAAACCTCTACAGTGGACTACATGTCATTTACGCATCATGTCCTGTCAGTATTTAGGTATATGTTGAAGTATTCCACCACATTCGATAATGTCCATGTGTAGCCTCGTCGTGTTTCCCCTCTAATCCTCTCTTCCTTTATATGCTGGTACGTACTGTAGGAGTTCTTAACTCGTACAAAACCGTCCCCCGTAAATCTGGATCCATTCCACTACACATTCTCAGCTGTAATGTAAAGTGTCACCTATTTGATAAACGCAACCTTTTTATTTCCCGCTTTTACGTTCTGCTAAGCTACAGACACGCTTCTGCTCTCGTGGACAAATTCCTTTTTCATTCTGAAGTCAGAGGAATGTCCTTGTGAAGGCTAAGACGGTGATATTCTGCAGTTTTCTTATTTTCAACCAATTCCGCGAGGAGATTCGAGTAAACAATACATCCGTTGTACAGCTGCTGTCTGGGCGGCCAGAGTCTGGCGTCTTATCTATCCGTCGTACGCTACTGAACCGGGCAGAAGGGATTTTTAAAGTGCACCAGTTGTCGGGTTACAGAGCAAATACAGTGTGAAGTTTGAGCAAATTTTAAGAAAGTTTGCAAAAATAAAGCTTGTACAAAAGGCACGCAGATGCACAGTTTGTTGTACTCCGGTCTGGTGACATCGGATCAATGCAAAAAAAAAAAAAGGAACAACGAGCTGCATTTTGGAAAGTGTGAAATAACGGTTAGTTGTTTGAACTCTTTGCTTATTTGCCTCTCCATCGGAGCAGAGTGTTCCGTCACACACCAAATTAGATTCCAGTGCATTTTGTTGAATTTGACTTTTGTCGTTTGTGTATCCAGCTTCATGAAACTTTGTTTTTCTCTGGAAATATTCACACAACAATCAAACCCACGGCTGAAAATATTCCCCAGCAGCAACAAAAGCTGTGGGTTTTTTTAAGAAAGAAAGAAAGAAAGAAAGAAAGAAAGAAAGAAAGAAAGAAAGAAAGAAAGTAAGAAAGATCCGTTTGCGTCTTCAGACTAAACAACGAGGGCTTGAAGCTGAAGCCACACACATGAAAAGTCAATACAGACTTTGTCACAATCACACGCCTTTATTTTGAAAGACGAGCTCCTGCTCAGGTGTCCTTGAGTAAAAACACTCGATAGCTAAAGTCACGCTGTTGTGTAACTGACTGTGACCTCTGAGTTTCCAGCTGAGAATAATCAATTAACTACCACATAATTATTAAAGTGGAGGAAGGCTCATTTGAATTCAGCCCCGCAGCTGATTAGTCCTGGTAGCATAAAACATACCGTCATGTCGCCTTTCTGAGGGATGATGAGGAACAAAAGTGCGTACGAACGAGGAATAAGTTGCCACGTGATATTTGCAAACGACAAGAGTTTGTTCTCATTGGACCGACTCTCCACACGTCTCAGGATTTTATTCAACTTTAAAAAAAAAAAAAGGCGAGATGTTTTGAATGATGGCCGAGGTTTAGACATCAGCCGATCCAGACGTTACTCAGCGAGCACCAAAGTTTTTCTCATTCTGGGCCCAAAGGTCAGATGTCTATAAAAGCAGCCCATCCGTCTTTCTTAAGGGGCAGAGCTGTCACAGAGCACACTTAATCTTCATGCAAAGTACCCTTAACCTCCAACACACAGACAAATCATAGAGTGAAACAGATGGATGAGTCTGCTGTTCGACGGAGAGGCAACTGAACTCGGGAGATAATGGAAACATTCAGAGCTGCCGTCTGTCCGTCTCCTTCACCGGTTCTGTCGGTTTCTCGCTGCCGCAAACATTCATAAGAATGTATATAACGCTGTGACAGATTTCCGCATGTATCCATCTTGAGCGGGGGGAAGGAGGCGAAGAGGTGAGCGCCGCACAAAAAGCCAGGTCGAGGTTTTCGTATCTCTCAGAGCAAGAAAAAGCAGTCGAACTCTCGCCGCTTCCCTTTTTTTCCGATGGATGTGAAAAATGAAGGCGAGAATTGTTGTGACGCCTGAGGAATTGCTTTTCCGCCACAATTTTTTCTCGCCATATTCATTTATCAGCGAGGTAAAGACGTTGGGAATGTATCGCCGATGACTGCCCGCTTCACAGAATACCAGTTGGGGCTGTGGAAGAACCGGGAATGTGATGGAAATGATCGATAACGTGTCTGGATGAAGAATAAAATGTCAAACAGCGTCTAGCGCCCCCTCAGGATTCTTTTTTTTTGGGAATCACAAAAACGTTCGGCGCGGCTCGAGTGGAATGAACAGATCCTGAGGTAGACGTAGAGACGCTTCCACTCAGTCAGTCATCAGCCCAAAACATCCACGAGTCACTTTTTAAACATAGAAACAGATGATTTTTAATTGCAATATTGTGGATTCATTTTTTGGCTAATTTTCTGCTCCTCCTGAACCGAGCTGTTGATTTATGATAATTTTATGTGTCAGTCCTGATACCTAACTTTGTCGTTAGCACCCCTCAGATATTTCTGTCAACCACACGCGATGCTGCCAGATTGCTGAGTTATTAAAAGAAGGTATCAAAAGTTACTGTTAGGTTTTTTTGTAACACTCTGAATTTGGCTCTCATCCACTTTCTGGTTTTTCAAGACTCTAACACAAGTTTTCTAAGAATACGGTCACAAATTATAGCCGTTAAACAAAAGCTATTTCAGGCCGCTTCACACAAACGCACATTTGTGTGAAACGGGGATGTAATACGCAGCCAGTTAAGCAAGAAAGGAAAAATACATTCTC